TGGCCATCGATAAAAATTTAGTCTAAACATTGCCAAATTTCTGCTCCATTAGTTTGGTTATTACATCATGTGAATTTTCTTCTTTGATACCCAACATCATCAATCCCGACTTCATGATAACAGTCATTAAAATCTATCATGCTAGGAAAATAAAAACCAACCATGCCTACCTTTTTTGTAGCATCAACAATAACATTAAAATCTCCTCCTACCAACCAAAAGACATGCACAAAAGTAGTTAATTGACACAAATACTTTTGTCATTCAATTCTTGAACACTTAGCATAAATAAAAGACCAATCAATGCATTTAAGTAAAACTATAATTAACTGGTTACCTACTTCAAGACGCTTTACATTAATGAGGTTAGACCAAAAAATTCAAATATAGTGGTTGATCAGGGTTTTGATGCATGCAAGAAAAGAACTTTAATTTTCTTACTAATTTTGTTATTTTTACTGCCATCCAATGTAAGTTCCTATTTACCAAAAGCATTAGATGGTGTTGAGTTTTAAGAAACTTAATATAATCTACAATAGCTTTGTTGTCTACGGGCACAAGCATTCTATATAATAGCAGACATTAATTAAAATAGATAGAGAAAGTGTTTCATGCTTTGGAAGTTGTGCATGCACATCTCGTAAAAGAAGGATTCTACAAACATAGCTTTTGTGCTAATTTAAAAAAGTTTTATTTTAACTTTTTCACTTCTCGTAAAGAAATATCTTTCAAATTCAACTTATTTACTAACGTTGCTTTCTCTATCAACACGTAAATCATTTGAAAGAGAGCTTTTCCAAGTAAATCTTACCCAAATCACAACTTATAAAAGAGTGAGTTTACTAGCAAGAGTCAATTCGAGATATTAATGGGCTAGTAGCCTTTTACATCATATATGATGGCGTTTGGTGATAAGTACCAAAAAAGCATTCCCATTCCGTATTCATTGGCCAAGAGATGGTAAGAATAGGAAGACTTTATAAGTATGTGCTTAAATAAGTTGCTAAGAAGATAAAGAAATAGACTGATAATAAACGAAGGCACGTCACCTTCCAAGTAGGGAGAGGGTGAAGGCAAAGTTGATGCCACAATAACACAAAGCTTTTCGAAAGATGCATAAAGGCCTTGTACGTCGATACAAAGGACCATTTAAGGTAGTACTTAAGGTTGAAAAGGTGTCATGGCATCTAGAGTTGTTGTTGAACCTAAAGATCCATCTAATATTCCATGTGAGTATGTTGAGGAGGATCTAAACCGAGAAATTTCTCATATGGCGCCAACAACAATGATTGACTTATTTGACAAAGAAGTTGATGTCATACATAATGATCAAACAGTTCGATGCCATGGAGTGCCACCCTAAAAGGATTGCTAGGTGAAATGGAAAGACTTACCAAAAAACAAGGCTAGTTGGAAACTTATAGAAGCCTTGTGGCAATTCACACGAAAAGTTGAAAAGTATAATGAAGGTGCAATAAGGATGTTACCAAATTAGATAAAGGAGAATGTTATGTCCTATGCAAAGAGGGGCGTTTTTGGAGGTTAATAGAAAACACTAAATAAATCTAGAAGCCTTTAAAAACTTTTGAATTTTGGATAAGCCTTTAAGTTGTCCAAGAGAAATCTAGGTATATCGTAGAGAATTATATAGAATCCTTTATTATTGTGACATGTGCATATCTAGATAATTTTTTTTATATAATATCTAGATAAGGTAATTCTAAATAAGTGATTGTGGTCTAAATTGATTCTAGTCATCCATTAAAGATGTGGATGATTATATATAGACGAAAACTTCATTTAGCCAAATTATTTAGAAAAATGTTATTTATAGTTGTAATTGTTTGAGAGCAAAAAGTTATCTAATATCTCTCTTGTGCGTTTTTTTTGTTTTACAACTTAGTGTGAGGAAAATGCTGACTTGGTTCCGTTAAAAAAAATAAATCAAGCGTCGCACGAAATTTTGGAAAAAACCAAGTTCGTGACAAAATGTTGACTAAACTCATGTTCATATGAAACGAGTTTTTGAAAAGGAGATCGTACATAAGACGGATCTAGCTTTACAGAGGCAAAAGGCAGGCAGGCACGTTTTCAGGTTCGTTTTTCAGGAATTTGGGTATTTAATCCTTTCATTTCATAAGTAGTTTCAGCAAGTGAATTCCGTACAATAGTAAATAACTAAATGGAGTATAATATAGGAGAGAATAAATGAAAGGTAGTTTTAGCATTTTAAAAGAATTTATCCACACTATCTAGCTATGTGAAACTAGAAATTTTGTTCCATTTCTTACCTTCTTGAGGTTGAACATGATGAAGACGGACATTTAAAAGAATTAATTTCATTTATTTAATACTTGATTTATTTTTAATTTTGTTATTTATGCAATCAAATTCTTTTTCTTTTTTTATACTTTTTTTAAAAAATTAAAAACTATCACATTTTTTTTGTTAAGTTTTTATTTTTTATGCATACTTTTCTTTTCTAGCTATTTATTTATTGTTGGAATTTTTTTTATGTATTTTTTATTTATTTTAAAAAGTAAAAAATTCATGTTAATATTTTTATTTTTTTTTATAGCTAATTATTTTTTTTATTTTTAAAATCAAAGGAAAAATGTTAGGAAACAAAATAATTTTTTTTCTTCTAAAAACTGAAATAGCTCGAGCATATAAAATTAAAACTTTCATAAAAAAATGAATTAGAAAAACTAAGAAAAGTTACACTTTTACCACCATTAAGCATGTTTCATCAATACATCTATTATCTTATCTATCATTGAATATTATTAGAATATCTTTTGATTTATAAGAACCAAATAACCACTAAAATATTAGTTTATCAGTTTGTCATAATGAAAATAAGTAGAAAATCAATAAAATAAAATTCAATCAAAATTTATTGTGTTTTCAAATTTCTTAAAATAAAATAATTTTTTTTCTAGTGTGAATAAAAAATTGAGACAAATTCCAATGCTAAATAATGAAAAGTTGGAAAATAAATTATTTATTTATTTGTTGAAATTCAAACAAAAGCAAAGTAAAATTGGCTTTAACGTGGATAGAGGGACTTTTACTACTTAAAGAATCAAATATAGACATCTAATCATTAAAAAAAACTAAAAGATATAGGGGTTTTGAATAATGATTTTCACCGTTCATTTCCTCACAATTCATTATTTATAAAATGTAAATTAAGTTGGTTTTTTGTGATTTTTCAACAGCTTTTAGACATTTATATTCAAAGTTAGGCCTGCCTCCTCTTTTTATTTTTTTTCCCTAATCAATGTATGTTTTTTTATTATTCAATTAGTTATGAAAATTATGAAAAATGCTATTTTTATTCTCTTCCTCTCTTTTTTTCCCACCAATTTATGTTTTTTTTTTAATTATTGAATTGGATGCGAAGATTATGAAAAAAATTTATATTTTTTCCATACAAGATGACAGCTTATGAAATATATATGATATGTTTTTAGATTTTAATGTGTGTATGTATATATATATATATCGATTATATTACTCTTATTGTTTAAAATTGATCTCTTCAATTTACCATTTCTTATAAAAAAATCTCATTGGATTAATTTTTTATTCTTTTTTATGTTATTTTATTTTTTAATAAATATGATTTATTTTCTCTTATGTATAAATTTTTGAATAAGTTTTTTTAATTGTTTTTATTTTCTTATTTTTATATAATTAAATTTTAAAAATAGAATTCATGTGTTTTATTTACTTATTCTTTATATAATCAAATTTTTTCGAAATCAATTTTGTTGTTTTTTTATTGCACCCTACTAACTTCAATAATTTTTTTTTAAATCAGTTTATGTTGCACACTCGACCCAATAAGTACGGTTATGATGTGTGTGTGTGTGTGTGTTAGATTTATTGATTTTATGAAAAATTAACTATATATCTACACTCATAACACCAACTAGTGCTATTTTTTATATATATATTTTGAAATTATTTTTTCAAATAAAATAATTGAAATGATGTTTTAGAAGAACTCGCCTAGTAATTCAAATACAATTTTTTTCAATAATAATATTATTAATTATTTTGTGTGTGTGTGTGTGTGTGTGTGTATCTCAAATGTACATACTTTCAAAAAAAATATTATTCTCATTAGTATTAAACAAGAATAAAAAAAATTATTTGTTAATTTTTATTCAGGTTTTTATGTTACTTCATTTATTCGATACAACGTTATGAAAAAAATATTAAAATATATTTTTTTAATTTTATATTTAGATTATTAAGGATTTTTTAAAAGAATAAATGCATCAAAAGAATAAATCATGTTTTTTTAACTAAAAAAATTATAAGAAAATAAACCAAAAAAAAAAGTAAAATTTTCATTAAAAATTATAAAATTGAATGAAATTTTATCTTTAATTTAATATATTTTTATTAATCGATGACACAATACATGTTATCAAACTCAAATAAATATATTTAGTTTGACCCATAATACAAGTGCAAGAAACTAACTAGTTTGAACTAAAACTACAAAAGTACTTTTGTAAAAAATTAATATATACCATAAAAACCTCTAATTTCACTAAACCATTAACACCCTCTAAAAAAATCAAGATTTGTTTTTATGTTTCTAGTCAAATACCGTAGTAAATTTATTAAAAAAATAATAATAAATTAAAGGACTGATATTATATTAAGAAAAAAATTATATTATGTTGTATGCATTATTGAAAAATATTAAAAAATAATATAAAATCATTATTTAAACTCCATCTAAAAGTTTAAAATTTTGAATTAATATGATTCTTTGACAGAATGGCCACGCTGAACTAAATATAGTCGTGTTTAAAGTTTTTTTAGCGCTATAAGACAACTCAGTTTTTGGCGTTTACTTGTGCTCACTTATTTATATATTATGTAAGTTCTAAATTATTAGCGACCCCAAGTTCATTCCCCACACATCCAACTATCATCTGATTTGCTGGCCAATTTGGAGCTTAGTTCGAAGATCCCAAATGGCAGCCTTTTCTTACCTGCATCAGTACCCCGTTTTTGTTGTTGACGAGTTTCAGCTCAATCCAAACACCAAAAACGACGAGTCTAGTTTACTGCTAAAGGAAGAAACCATCACAAGCGGAACTTTTTTCTCTCCAAATCTTCCATATGAAAGTCTCCAGGAGAGCCCTTTACATGCTGAAAGAATCCTTGAAACCATACATGCTTATGAGAGCAGCAGTGTGAAGGTCCCTTTCACTAGCACTAAACACTGCTGTGAAGAGGATCAAGTTACTCAGGTGATGACCCCTACAATGGGGCAAATGAGACAGCACTCACTGCCAACCAGAAAGGTAAATATGAGTCAAAATACTGAACTTCCTAACTAAAACCATGTTCGCCTGTCAGTGATTATAAATAGACAAGAACTTTATTTAGCCATTAAATTATCAGAAATGCTACAACTCGAATTCACTTAAATGGTGCATATAATACACCTGTGGCGGTGTAGGGAATCCGCTAATTTTGCACCACACGCATATTGTAAGTAATGAATTAGGGATACCAGACTCAATGTTCTGCTTGATTAAGACATGACTAGTCGTTTAGATGAACATTACACGATTGTATCGATGGCGATATCATCGGATTTCATTGACTGTGATAGGTAAAAAGAGAAAGCAAAGGTCAGAGTCTAAACCCAAAAAGTTCTGTCTTACAAGATGCAAAGAAGGTAAGACCCGCAAAAAAACAGAAGAAAGTTCCTCCTGTTGAACCTCCGACAGGCTACGTTCACGTCAGGGCAAGAAGGGGTGAAGCAACGGACAGTCATAGCCTTGCTGAGAGAGTAATTAATTAAAAAGCTTATAAATTGAACCTGCTAGCTGGCTAGCTTTTAATTAAGTCATTAAATTATCAGCCGAATGTATTATTAATTGTTTTTGGGAAACATGAATTTGCAGGTGAGACGAGAGAAAATCGGTGCGAGGATGAGGCTATTGCAATCTCTAGTTCCTGGATGTGATAAGGTGAAATTATAATTATAGTCGTCGTCTAATATACGGATTCAGAGAAAAATTTTATTTCGAAATTGAGCATTCAGTTATATATGTTAACTGGTGATTGTCAATTTGTCATGTAATTAACAGATAATCGGCAAGGCTCTCATACTGGATGAGATAATTAGATATGTTCAGTATCTAAAGGGTCGAGTGGAGGTAAGAATTAATAAAGACACTGCTTAAAATGGCCTCTTCATATTTGTATGCAATCATCCCCAGTTAGAAATCTCATCAACTCTCTGTACTGTTCAGTCACTCGAAGCAGAACTTGTTTTTGTTAATGGGAGGGTCCTTAATGACTTTGAAGGGCAATTCAATTTGGAGACACAAGCATGGCAGGTAAACATTTATTGCTTCCTGATAAAACCGATTAAATTACTTATTTGTTACTATCAAAGGTTGTAAAAATTGTAGAGGGAGTAGTATCTAACTAGTCAGGTTAGAGAAGGGTTTTTATTCTTGAAAAACTTCTCCCTCTTGTTTGTATGATGCTAGATATGACTCAGCGCTTGATGGAGCTCAAAAAATGATAGATTTAATTTAGATTCATCTAAAAACTGATTTGAATATACTAATTCATTATTTTTAAATATCAAATAATGATGATAATAAATTAATTATTTATCATGTTATTTTATTTCAAAGCATCTCCTATAGTATAACTCATGATTCCTTTATTAATATGCCAATTCCAGGAGCTATTTACCTCGGAACTTCAATTGAGTCCTGTTCTGGAATCTGGATCCTCTCATCTCCCTTCGTTCGTTGAGACAGCAGATGCACCCACTTCAGTGTTAGAGCCACCCCTCAAATACTACTAATCAACATTATTAAGTGCTACTCCAATGTAAGGCAAACAATCATAAAAACGAAACAATCAGCATCATTAACTGCTGCTAATCAATTTATTGTTAAAAATTTTCAGGAAACCAGCAACTCTTAAAGGGCATGAAAGATTGTTTGGCAGCATGAATTAGAGAACTTGCATATTTTCTAGTAGAAATTTAGATGTAGGAAATCGCCTGCTCAACTTCCTCTTATTTTCAAGTTCCCAATTATCTAGATTGTGTTCCATAAATATTGCAATATAAATTCAATTGATTCATGTAGTATTGGAAGTTAATTTGTTATTATATTATTAGTACGTCCTAGAAATATATTTCATTATAATTCTTTGGTTGGAAATTTTGTGATCCTTTAGTATTCAGAACTCCCTATATGTATACTTTGTTTTGTAAACTACGTTGGATTGTGAAACAAATTGTTTTTGAAAAGTGTCATTATCCGATTGCAATATCATATTTGCAGTTTTGTCAATGTCTTCTGTAAATAGTGGCGTAGTCAGAAAATAACTTCAGTAGGGTCATTTAAAAAACTTATACTTACAATTCATATTAAAGCATTTTTTTTAGTATTTTTAATATTATTCATTAAAATTAAGTGAATTCTGAAAATGTAAAATGAAATAATCAAACTTTAAAACATCGCAAACTATTTAGGTCTATATAGATTTCATGATTAATTGATAATTTCAACCTGAGTAACTTTATATCAAAATCTTCAAAAAAAATAAAAATAAAAATAAAAAATCACCATTGTATGGAAAAGGAAAATAAAAGTTAAACGAGGGAAATATTTTAAATACAAATTAAATTAAATATAAGGAGAATAATACATATATAGTAAAAAAAAATTGATTGCTTAGAATTATGGAAGCATTTAAGAGAATAAATGAAATATTGAATAATCACTATAATTATTGCAGCATATGTCTATAACAGAGAGACCATGAGAGACCACAATCATAGACTACATAATGGCATTGCCAGAGTCTAATAACTTTGATAGCATTGTTGTTAGTCGTGGATAAGTTATCCCATTATGCTATATTCATATCAGTCTTAGAGGACGTGATAATAGAAAACATTGTTAAGATACTCTTCAAACGTATAATGAAACATTGAAAGGTGTTACGACATATTATCAGTGGTCAAGATTCCTAATTCATTAGGAATTTATGGATTTAACTATTTGAGTTGTTGGGTTTAAAGTTACACTGCTCCATAGGTTTTCACTTGCAAATGAATGGGTAGACTTACAGACAAATAGGCAGATTGGATGGTTTAATACTTTGCTAGAGACATACTTAAAGCACATTATGAGTACGAATTAGTAAGATTGGAATAAATTGTTGGATATTGCCTAATTCTTTTATAAATTATAAAATAATGAGTTTAATGGCAAAAGTCTATTCGAGATGATTCGAGATAATGATGGCCAGCAGCCTTTAGAAAAAAAACCAAGCCTGTGACAGAATATTAACTAAACTCAGGTCAATATGAAACGAGTTTTTGTAAAGGAGATCGTACTTAAGACAGATCTAGCTTTACAGAGGGAAAAAGGTGGGGAGGCACATATTCAAGTTCGTTTTTCATGAATTTGGGTATTTAATCTTTTCAGTTAATAAATAGTTTCCGCAAGTAAATTCCGTACAATTAGTAAATGACTAAATGCGGTATGCTATAAGAGAGCAAATGAAAGGTAATTTTAGCATTTTAAAAGAATTTATCCACACTATCTAGCTATATGACACTAGAAATTTTGTTCCATTTCTTACCTTCTTGAGGTAGAACTTGAAGACGGGCATTTAAGAGAATTAATTTTATTTGAAGACGGGCATTTAAGAGAATTAATTTTATTTATTTAATACTTGATTTATATTTAATTTTGTTATTTATGTAGTCAAATTCTTTTTCTTTTTTATACTTTTTTTAATTAAAAACTATTACATTTTTTTGTTAATTTTTATTTATTTATTTACGCTTACTTTTCTTTTTTAGTTGTTATTTATTTATTTATTGTTGGAATTTTTTTATGTATTTTTTATTTATTTTAAAAAGTAAAAAATTCATGTTAATCTTTTTATTTTTTATAGATAATTATTTATTTTATTTTTAAAACCGAAGGAAAAATGTTATGAAACAAAATAATTTTTTCGTAAGAACTGAAAAAGCTCAAACATATAAAATCAAAACCTTCATAAAAAATAAATTAGAAAAACTAAGTAAAGTTATACTTTTACTAACATTAAGTGTGTTTCATCAATATATCTATTATCTTATCTTTCGTTGAATATTATTAGAACATCTTTTGATATATAAGAACCCAATACCGACTAAAATATTAATCTATTAGCTTGTCATAACGAAAATAAGTAAAAAATCAATAAAATAAAATTCAATCAAAATTTAATGTGTTTTCAAACTTCTTAAAATAAAAACAATTTTTTTTCTAGTGTGAATAAAAAATTGGTAAAAATTTCAATGGTTGATAATGTAAAGTTGGAAAAAATTATTTATTTATTTATTGAAATTCAAACCAATAAAAATCTAACATATATCCCTTCATCCCATTAAAAGTCGAAATCAAAGTAAAATTGGCTTTAACGTGGATAGAGGGACTTTTACTACTTAGAGAATCCAATATAGACATCCAATCATCTGAACTACAAAAACAAAACTACCTTCGTAAAAAATTAATAAATACCATAAAAATTCAATATCACTGAACCATTAACACCCTCTAAAAAAATCAAGATTTGTTTTTATGTTTCTAGTCAAATACTGTACGTAGTAACTTTATTAAAAAAATAATAAATTAAATGATTGATATTATGATTAAGAAAAAAATTATATTATGTCGAATACATTATTAAAAATTATTAAAAAATAATATAAAATCATTATTTAAAGTCCACGTAAAATTTTAAAATTTTGAATTATTATGATTTTTTGACGGAATGCCCACGCTGAACTAACGATAGTCGTGTTTAAAGTTTTTTAGCGTTCTTCGACACTAGAGTTTTTAATTAAGTCATTAAATAAGCTTTTAAAAAACTTAAACTTACAATTCATATTAATGCATTGTTTTTAGTATTTTTAATATTATTCATTAAAATTAAATGAATTCTCAAAATATAAAAAGAAATAATCAAACTTAAAAACATCGCAAACTATATAGATTTCATGATTAATTGATAATTTCAATCTAAGTAATATTATATTAAAAAACAATCACCATTGTATGGAAAAGGAAAATAAAAGTTAAACGAGGGAAGTAATTTAAATACAAGTTAAATTAATTATAGGGAGAGTAATACATATATAGTCAACAAAAAAAAAAAGTTGATTGCTTAGAATTATGGAAGCAATATTTAAGAAGATAAATGAAATATTGGATAATGATTCATCTTGTTTATGAATATAACATTTTAAATATCCAATTGAGCAAAAATCAAAACGCCCACCGTGGGGTTCGAACCCACGACCACAAGGTTAAGAGCCTTGCGCTCTACCAACTGAGCTAGACGAGCTTAGCTGATTGATTTTCCCTATAATAAAATATAGATAGTTTTCCCACTTTCTCGTCTACAATTTCAGCGCTCGGTTTGCCAAAAATGGTTGTACGAAAAGAATACGTGGGTTTTTTTTTTAAGGTAAATGGTGTTATCGGTTCTTTCATATTTTTTTAAACCAATAAATTAAGTTCCCAAAAACAAAAATTTCAAATAAGTTTTTGTTTTATTATATTTTTCTATAATATCTTGATAATACATTTGAGAATTTGTTAATTATCATTTTCTTCTTAATTTTTTTTTATAATTATTAAGAAAGGTTTAAAGCAGTTCATTATGATAATGGTCATTAAAATTTAAAACAAAACAAGATGTACGTACTCGTATGAAGAACTATATTTAACTCCTATGATGGTAAGTTCATATGAATTTAATCATGATTTACAATTCTGGTACCATATAAAAAACAAATAGACTATAATCATAAACTATTTTGTAAGTAAAAAATATTAGACAACAATTATGTGAAAGATTAATTTGATAAAATTAAGAGATTAGAAAATAAAACAAAATAAAACCCCCTAATTTTTTTAAATATATAAAGGGCATAATATGGATAGCGTAATTAAATATGAATATTCCTGAAAGAAATATTATAAAGGTAAATTCATTGGTTTTAAAAGATTATCAAGAAACTTATGGATCAGTTACTTTTCATTCAAAAGTGAACTATATGTACTTTTCCCTAGTTTCAATTTAAAACTGCTGCTTAAAAATAGGATTTTAATGGTTCAAAATATACTTTAACAAGGATTTTGTATAATTTCTTAAAATATGTTTCGACTTTACCATATTGATGTGTGCAAACTGCAACCGTATACAAGTATATATATTGAATTATTGTTTTGTTTATATGTTATGTGTGGAAAATTCTTGAAAATTGATCAAACGATTAGTCAATCAATTAAAATACAAAAAGCTAATGTTATAATTTATAAAAATAATGATTAACCAATTAAGTAAATTTTGATATAAGAAGTAAGAGGTGTGAAAAAAATAATATACAATACTAGTAAGATGCAAGTCGAGTGACAAGCAAGCGAGATGATGATAATCGAATTGATGCAATTAGTGAGAGGCGTGTGAGAAATATCATACATGTAGTGAGAGACATAAGAGGAATACTAAACATTGCTAATAAGATGCAAGTCAAAATAGCAAATATGTAAATGGTGAGAGCCTATATAGATAAAACTTTAGGCATTGTTTGATGTGTGAGTTACGTCGTTTTGGAAAATAGAGTTAAGAGGTTTTGGTAGAGATAAAAAAAATTAGAATCCTCTTACAATGATACAAAATTAGTATTAATAGTGACTTGAAGATGATTTCTTATAGTTAGAATTGTGCCACATCACTTATGTTTGAACAATCGACTTGAATTGAAAAAAATTAGATTCTTTTATCCTAAATTATTTAAATTTGTTAGAAAATGTTAAAAAAGTAATAATTGTGCTTTCTTTTTGGCAAACCCTACTCCAAGCAAGTCTCCCCGATGAATTTCAAATACAAGATATGAACACTAATTATGTCAAAATACATGTTTCCATCGTTATGTCATCAAATATCTTGTATTAAACGAGTTTCATCTAAAATCCAATTTATACATTATCTAGTTTAAACTTGTGTCATAATCAAGAAAAATAACATAAATTAATACATAATAAAATTAACTAGATTATTTAATTAATTTTAAGGAAGCATCGAACATATACATATTCATTATTAAATTAGAATTATGAGAGGAAGAAAAATTTTGTAAAACACACACACACACACATATATATGTGAAGTTAAGTTGTTGTCCGTTTGCCAAGTGTTTTCCTATTAATCTATTTTTTAAATATAAATTTTATAAAATTTACTTTAAAAAACCAAAAAAAAAAAAAAATCCTTTTTTTTTAATACATATATCTGTTCAAGTATGTGTTGTTGTTGTAGGCCGCGACAGAGAATTGAAAAGTGACGTTGATACATGGATTGCTATCCACACGTCCTAATAAATATGATTTTGCAGCTCCTTGCGAAATTTTTTAAGACCTCTAATGAATATATATATTTTCTCTATTATTATTATTGTTGTTTTTTTTTTTTTGGCTTTTTTTCATTTTTGATAAATATCAATCAGATTATGACTATGATTTTTTTTAATAGAATGGAGTTATTTTTCGCTTCTGTAGTTTATATTGAAAGGTAAATTTTTTTTTTGGCTAATATTTGTTCGAATATGTAGATTCATTATTTGAATCTTCATATGGTTCTGGCATTATTCGATTCCTTTTATATCAGTTGGCACTACATGACTTTTTTTTTTTTCCATAGATCTTGTCTCATATTATTTGCATTGTTTTATTATTTGAGTGGTGTTATTGATTTAATTTATTTTGAATTAAATAAAAAATTTAAATTTATAGTTGGATTCGAATGATTCGGATTATCAATTAGATAGATTATTTGCATTTTATAACAGACAAAATGTAAAATTTTTTATAGTTAGAATTGTGCCACATCACTTATATTTGAACGATTAGATTTGAATTAAAAAAAATTAGATTCTTTATCCTAAATTATTTAAATTTGTCAAAAAATGTTAAAAAAAGTAATAATTGTGCTTTCTTTTGACAAACCCTACTCCAAGCAAGTCTCCTTGATGAATTTTAAATACAAGATATGAACACTAATTCTGTTAAAATACATGTTTTCATCGTTATGCCATCAAATATCTTGTATTAAGCGAGGTTCATCTAAAATCTAATTTATACATTGTGTAGTTTAAATTTATGTCATAATCAAGAAAAATAACATAGATTAACACATAATAAAATTAACTAAATAATTTAATTAATGTTAAGGAAACATAGAACATATACATATCCATTGTTAAATTAGAATTATAAGAA